AAAAAAAAAATTGAGGTGACTAGCTTCTCACACTTGTAGATAATGCTGTAAGAATGTTCTCTTACATTTATCTCTTTGTATTTGTGATTTTTTTTTTTTTTAGGATAAATTCCTAGAAGTGGATTTATTGGATGAAGGCTTTACATTTTCATAGATAAATGCTAAACTGCCCTCCAAAGTTGGCATACCATGTTACACTCCCGTGGTATAGTATGTGTGAATGCCAACCACTTTTATTTATTTATTTATGTATTTATTTATTTTGAGAGAGAGAGAGAGAGAGAGCAGGGAGGGAGCAGAGAGGGACAAGGAGAGAGGAAGAAAGAGAATTTTAAGCAGGCTTCATGTTCAATGTGGAGCCCAACTCAGGGCTCTATCCAACAACCCTGGGATCGTGACCTGAGCCGAAATCAAGAGTCGGAAACTCAGCCAACTAAGCGACCAAGGCGCCCTGCCAACCACTTTGTAAAAACAGCCTCAGCCTAGTGTTAAATCCTGATTAGTTGTTAACCCGTTAACCACATAGGTATACTTTAAAAATACTCTCGGAGGAAAAATATGAAGCAGTTATAAAACTATTCCAAAAATATGTCATTTAGAAAAGTGTTTTTCAAACTTTGGATTGCAATCCCATTAGTGGTTTGAACATAGTTTCAGGGATTGTGACCAAAAATTAAACAAAAAGAAGGGCACCTGGCTGGATCAGTTGGTAGAGCGTGCAATTCTCAATCTTAGGGTCATGAGTTCAAGCCTCATGCTGGGGATGGAGCCTACTTGGAAAAAAAATAAAAAAGTAAATAAAATAATGTAAAAAATTCAGTTTATAGCACATGTAATACTGTTTGATTTATATGTGTCCTGGATTTTTATGCAAATTGTTTCCTACTGTAGGTTGTGACCCCAACAGTTTGAAAATAATTAATTTAGAATAAACATGGGTATTTCACTATCTTTACTCTTCAGGAAGAGAATTAATAACTTGAAAGGGAAGGGAGATGTAACTCAATAAATTTTAAAGTGGAGATATCTTTTTTTTTAAATGTTTATTTATTTCTGAGGCAGAGAGAGACAGAGCATGAGTGGGGGAGAGGCAGAGAGAGAGGGAGACACAGAAGCAGAAGCAGGCTCCAGGCTCTGAGCTGTCAGCCCGGAGCCCGACGCGGGGCTCGAACCCATGAACTGTGAGATCATGACCTGAGCCGGTCGGTCGCTCAATCGACTGAGCCACCCAGGCGCCCCAAAAGTGGAGATATCTTTCTGACTCAGCAGTTCTTTGGTAACACAGAAGGATACTATAAACTGGATTGAGATTTTTCAAAGCTAAAACTTTATTTTTTTTAACCAATATTTTAAATTTGGGGGAAATTATCTAAAAAAATTAAGGTAATACTCAAAGTTTAGTTGACCCTTAGCTAGCCCCTATTTGGAAAGAGGATAAAGCATCGAATGTATATTAACAAAAAAAATCATATTTCCTCATACTTAGTTTGACATCTATCTATCAATCATCTCTCTAACTATGACATGTTAAGTATTGATTTATATTATTTATATTTAGATTATTTCCTGCTAATTCAGTTATGTGTAGTTTATATCACAGAGTTAAATATCATGCTTCATTTTGTTCTCCAAAGGGCACCACCCTTGTACTTCCCAAATGTGTTTGAAAACTGGGCTGTTGCCGCGTTTCTTTATTTTGTAAATACTGGACACTGAAACTTTAAACAAAAAAGTGGATGAAGAGAGAGCACAGTTGGGGTTTCACTTGCCAACAGATAGCTCGTATTATGACTGTTATTATTTATCTCTTTGCAAGAATTTTCGAGAAATGATCCCTGCCTTTGGAATTGTCAGACTCCTGATCATCATCCTCATAAGTAAGTTTGTTTTGTGAACACCTCGCACCTTCCATTTTATTGGTTTGCCCTCCAGGAGGCCTCAGGCTTCCTAAACACTGGCAAGGAGTGACAAAGAATTGTGGCTCCCTAGCCTTAAGCAGAAAGGTAAATGGAGGAGTTTTCACAGAGCTTCATGGGTGGTTTTTAGAGGTGCCTCAGTAATGAGGTTTTGTTTTTTTGTTTCTTTCTGGAGTGGGGGAAGTCAAGAGAGTCAGATATTTTGTCTACTTCAACCACAATAACTTCCTGTTTTATATTCTGGATTTTTCTCATTCGTACATTGGATTCTGTATATGATCTTGTCTGAGGAGGGAAAGCTTGAAAACCACTGACCTAATCTATTTTTTCTTCAATTTCTAAATTCTCAGATTAAAAACAAACAAACAAACAAACAAACAAACCCCAAACAGATCTAGGATCCAAGCATGGGGTGCTGGCTGAGGGCTGAAGACAGGAGCAGGGGGTGAAGGATTTGAGAGGTCAGGGAACTAGCAGGACGGCGGATGTGGCTTTGGAAATCTCCAAGTATTACAGTAGAGAATTACATGCTGAAAAAATTTAGGAAGAGTGCTCAGTCTGGAGTGGAGGCGGAAATTTTAGCTGGGTCTGAACGTCAGGGGGGATCTTGGGTGGTGGCGGGGACACACTGGGTAGAAGACAAAGGGAGCCAAGGCGAGCTGGGGCCTTGTGTCTCTGAACCTGCTCCAGCTGAAGCCGGAGCCGCACAGAGGGTGTGGGGAGAAGGCAGACCCGGGGGTCGGACTGTAGGCTCATACTTGATGGCCGACACGGAGGTGATGCTTGATAAAACCCAAGATCTGGGCCGTCCCCATGGTAAGCAAAAATGGTTCTGCTAATTGGTATCGAGTTCAATTGTCCACATTGCTGGGAACAGGGCCAACTACCTCTGAGGAAAGAGACTAAATCCAGTGTACGGCCAGTTAAGCTGTAAAAACAGTGTTTCATCCTGGGAGAAGATAAGTGACTTGTTTATAGCTTATACATACTCTCTATACTATTTTTGTCCGTGGGAAGCTGAAAATGTGAGGTAAAGTTGTGAGCACAGAAAGGAGAGTGAGCGCCTGGGGTCAGTGAGGAGAGTTGCCGTGGAGCAGAGCGGTCACCTGAGCTGTTGAGCGTCACTATCAGGACCAAGGGACAAGTCCTGTGACAAAAAAAAAAAAAAAAAAAAAAAAAAAAAATGTTGCTACACACAGGTTACCTGGGTTTCAGTCTATTTCTTTTAGGTAATTATGAATGACTTTTGTAAAGTGAGCCTCAAACCCTTGATGGGGAAATGGTTTTAATACTCTTCAATGTTGGAGTAAAAACCCTTTCCTCATGCACAGGGAATCTCCAAAAATAGTTTATGTAACATTTTGTCATTCCGAGGGAAGTAATAAAGCGGCTTCTTTATCTTACAGAGGAGGTAAGAGCCGCTAATGTTAGCCTTCCCCACCTCCTGGCACGCTTCATTTCTAAAGATTCTTCCGCCTGGTTTGCCTACTCTTAAAGATGAGAAAAGTTAACACACGCCAGATTAACAAAACACAAGTACAGTTTTATTTTAAACCTGTTTCCTTGCGAAATGTATAGTTTTAAAACAAAATGTTTAAAAAATGGTAAATATTATTCTTAACTGTGAAGGACAGTTGGCCTGGCCTTGAGGACTTTCCTTCCTGAAGCATTATTTGTTGGATATGTCTTCTAACAAAGCCACTGAGCTAAGCTTTGGAAAAAAGAAAGCTCACATTTTCACTCTTCAAAAAAATCCGCATAAAGGCAACTCTTTTAAAATCAGTGACAAACTTTTAGCAAGGACAATAACTTGGTTTATTGGAATAGGGGCTTCTTTTCAGGTGGAAGACATGTCTCAGTGTAGAGACCGCAGCAAGGCAGAAGCAAACTCCCCTAGGAAGCAGAAAGAGCTAGGCAGAGATCTGCAGGAAGGACATGATCAGAGAGAAATAGATTGGAGAAACTGACATGCTGAGGGTTACAAAAGCTTTTTGAAAGGAGGCCTCCCACTGTGCAAGACTAGACCAGAGGAACTGTTTCCAGTTGTTACCCCCTCCTCCAGTGGTTTTCTTCCACTTTCCTAGTTCTATCTCTGTTATTTATACTGGATTAAGAAATTCAAATGATTGAAAATAGGACACAGCCACATTTATCCAGCATTTATGTGTACTAGTCATTTATAGTTAAATTGAATACTTCCTCGACCTCAATTCCTGTCTAGTCACTTGAACGCTGATCAATACGGTATTGAAAGGGGAACTGGGCAGAGCACATGGTCCTGATGCTATTTTCCCAAAGGCAAGGACTGGGTCTTTCCATCTCCGAGGACACAGTGGTTCACTAAGTGGAGCACAGGGAGTTGGGGTGTGGAATGTGACAGCTGCATGAGATGTTTCCAAGTGCAGGGCACATGGAGGGTGGACTTCTAGGCCAAGAAACCCCAGGAGCTCTTTTTGCATCATGGATCTGACTTAATTGAAGAATGTCTAAGTTCTGGGCTCTCACTGTTCCACTGGAGAATGTGGACTCATTTCCTTTCTTGGCCTGGTGGTTCTTAGAGGCAGTTGGTGCGGTGGGTGAGAGGCAAGCCTCCATAGCCAGACTTCTTTTTTTTTTTTTTTTTAACGTTTATTTATTATTGAGAGAGAGACACACATACACAGAGCATGAGCAGGGGAGGGGCAGACACAGAATCCGAAGTAGGCTCCAGGCTCTGAGCTGTCAGCACAGAGCCCGACGCAGGGCTCGAACTCACAAACCGCGAGATCATGACCTGAGCTGAAGTCGGACGCTCAACCGACTGAGCCACCCAGGCGCCCCTCCATAGACAGACTTCTTAAGGTTCAAATCCTGCCCTTGCCTCTGAGCTGTGTGGCCTTGGACAAGCACTTACCCTCTGTGTTTTTGTTTCCTTATGTATAAGATGCCACGGTAATTCCTCACTTGGATTGCAGCAATATCAATAATCTAGGTGGTCTTCCTGCCCCTGGCCTTGCTCCTTTACGCTCTTTCCTATATAGCAGCCAGAATGATCTTTTAAAAGTGTAAGTCGGATCATATCACTACTGTGCTCAAAGGCTTTCAAAGGTTTCCTACCACTTGGAGTCAAAGCCCTTACAGTGGCTCCTTAAAGCCCTTCCGTGATTGGTCCCCCGCCCCTCACCTATAATTTTATCCCAAACTGTAGTCTAGAATCACCTGGAGGTCTTGTTAAAACAGATTTCTGAGCCTCATCTTCAGAGTTTCTGGTTCAGTAAGGCTGGGGGTGGGCCTGAGAATTTCAGTGTTTAGTAAGTTCCCAGGTGAATGTTAATGCTTGGAGGGGCAGGGAATCACGCTTTGAAAACCACCCATCCAGCCAGCAACTCTGCTTTGGGATTCCTCCAGCACCCCAGGCACATTTCCTGCCTCAGGGACTTTGCACCTGCTCTTCCCTCTGCCTGGAAGACTCTTATTTCAGATGTCAGCACGGCTTGCTCTCTTATCTCCCTCAAATGTCATATTCTCAGTGAGACTGTCCCCGACTCTATTAAAAATTACACCCTACTCCCAGCATTCCTAATCCTCCTTCCTTTCATTGCATTTTCTCTATAGCCCTTACCACCATTTGATGTGTTTTACTTATTTGTGTGCCCCCCCCCCCCCCCCCCCCGCCGCGAGACTGTCAGCTCCGTGAAGCAGGGCTCTTCACTGCAGTATCTCTACCACCTTCTCTGGCACAGAGAAGATAACCAATAAATACTTGTTGGATGAATACATCTGTAAAATGGGATAGTGATATACTTATTTCCTAGGGTTGTTGTGAGGATTAGTGAATGAATACTCATAAGGTTCTTACTACAGCACCTGGCACAGAGTAAGTCTCCATAAATGTTAGCAGCTACCATTGTCAGAAAGGAATCAAAAACATCTGGTGCACTGTTGTGGCGATTCTGGGGCTTCACCAGGTTGTTTTTCTTTCTAGTTGTGTCGGATATGGGATTTGCTCTCTACAGAAGGTTCTTTGTCCCTGCAAATGGGTCACCGGTGAGTTCAGTTTATTATTATTATTATTATTTTAAGTTTATTTTGAGAGGGGGGAGCGGTGGAGAGAGAGAGAGAGAGAGAGAGAGAATCCCACGCAGGCTCCATGTTGTCAGCGCAGAGCCCGACTCGGGGTTTCATCTCACGAACTTGTGAGATCATGACCTGAGCCGAAATCAGGAGTCATATGCTCAACCGGCTGAGCCACCCAGGCGCCACCAGCTTATTATTTTTTTAAGTGAAAATTGTTTAACAGTAGCTTAAAAGGGTCAGCAAATGGGGACAACAAGTCTATGACTTAGGGCAGCCAAATTTCCATTTGGAAGTTAAGCAAATTCCTGAAGACTTTTGGATTGTCGTTTTCACTTAACTGTCTCAGAGCCCTGACGTCGGCTCTGCTTCCCTGCACCTGACCTACTGGTGGCTATTGGTAGCGAAACAGGAGAGAAGGGATTTTAATATCCCTAGAGAATAAAAAGCAGATTGAAAACAGCAAAGAAAATTTGGGTCTGGATGAATTTGCAATACAAAGAAAACTGACAAAGATTTCCAGTTTCGTGGTGATTAGTCTTTGAATTTGGTAGTTTGTTTGCATATCTGTGTGTATGTTATCTATGTTCTCATTCTGACATTCCATTTATGTGGGGTCAGACAGTGCTCCCACAGAGATCCCTTGTGGCAATGCAACACATTCTCTCGGGATTATGTAGAACCATCCCCAATGCGATGATGATAGAGAATGAGAAACACGGCTCTCTTGTGTACTCGGAGAGTTGATGAAATAACATGTTTTAGCTTTGTATGTTTTTAGAACATCTCTTTGCACATGCAGCTTTGTGTCTCTTTTGCCTCACTGCCTTCTTCCTCAGGCTTTTAAGGCTCTTGTTTGACTCTGATGGTACTTGTTTTTTTAGAGATGCAATTGAAATATGCAATTAGCATGTTCTTCACTTATTTCCATTTCTTCCCCCTTCCTCCCAAGGTGTCTTTTGCAGCCCACATTGCGGGTGGATTCGCTGGAATGTCCATAGGTTACACTGTGTTTAGCTGCTTTGATAAGGCACTGCTGAAGGACCCAAGATTTTGGATAGCAATTGCAGCTTATTCAGCGTGTGTCTTATTTGCTGTGTTTTTCAACATTTTCCTGTCCCCAGCAAACTGACCTGCCTCTAGTCTAAGCCAAATAATGAAAAGAGCTATCTGGGAAAAAAAACTGAGGTCTACGAAGAGACAGAGAAGTCCTTGCAAATGCTAACAATTTTATAAAGAAGTCAAAACATGATTCAAGTCATCAGTTGCAAAGACTGTTTACAAAGGAATCAGGGTTAGGGAAGGGGCTTCTGAATGCAGAGGGAGGGAAAAGGAAGAGAGAAAAGGGGAGGGACAGAAAAAGCAGGGGTTGGCTCTTTCCAGACATGCGGTGTGCATTGTATGTATCCTCTAAGAGAGACTTGGTCTCCTTGGAGGATATGTTGTAGAGACTGCTTGATATAATCCACAAATACTGTACTGTGCTGATAATAAAAACTTTTCGTACCTGTGCCAGACTATTGATAATCACTTTCAATCACCTTTGGGGTGGATGAGGTGCTTTATATACATTATTGCTAATCTTTTCAACAACCCAGAAAGGTGGCTATTACTCTGCATCTAGAGAGGAGGACATGGAAACTCATTAAAAAAAAAAAAAAATCAAGGAACTTGTCTAGGAGGGAGCAGGATTTAAAGGTTGGTAATGACTCAAAAGCCCATACTATCCTTCCTTACTGGTCTAATGATGCTGTGTTCCCCAAACACTTAAAGTTGAGAGTATCTTGGAGTATACGAACAAACATTACTGAGAGCACCCCATGAATGGTAGAAATACCTTATAAAAGAAGACTGAAAATTTCCCGGACTGCTAGTTTAAGATTCTAGAAGTATGTCTAGGATCCCAAGGGACCTAGAACTAGCTTTCTCATGCACACTGGGTACCTGGACTTTTGGTATTCTCACCCATAAGATATTTTCATCCTTTCCATGGCTGGTGGCTTTCCTGGGAGCGGGCAGAATTTATTTACAAAAGGTAAAATGTCATGTCTGAAAGCTGAGTAGCCTGTCTCCTTTCCTATTATAGAACCTGGATTGTTGGCCATTCTCTTTCCAAAATGGTAGTTTGGGGCCACCTGAACACAGGGAATACATGTTTTTTTCTTTCATCATTGACCTGTTTCATTATTTATTTATTAAAATTAAAAAAAATGTTTATTTTTGAGAGACAGAGGTGAGCAGGAGAGGGGCAGAGAGAGAGGGAGACACAGAATATGAAGCAGGCTCCGGGCTCTGAGCTGTCAGCACAGAGCCTGACGTGGGCCATGAACCTTTGAACCCACCAACTGCGAGATCATGACCTGAGCCGAAGTTGGGCACTTAACCGACCGAGCTACCTGGGTGCCCCAACATGTCTTATTTATAAACAACTAGCTAAACACGTTGCTATATTCTGAAAGGAGCATCCATACTTACTTAGATATATTGAGAAAAGTAGTTCAACATTTTGAGAAAAACGGATCTGAGATTTGTTAAAAACATATTCTTTGAGCGTGAGAATATGCATGTGTTTTTGCTTAAACAAAGATTCGAACAAGAACTTAAAAGATAAGAGTCCCTTTTATCTTCCCGTCCCAAACCCTGCTCTTTTCCCTTGGTGGTGACCGATGTCAACAGCTGGGTGTGTATTCTTGCAGACCTTTTTCTGTTCAGCGTGTGCAGAAAGGATTTCGTTGATGCCTAATCACTCACTGCGCTGAATGGCACTGAATCTGCTCTGTACCCCCAAAGGGACAAGTTCAGAAAACAAGTTGAAGATGACTGTGATTGAACTTCGAAGGAGAATTTGCTTCTCGGATTTACCCCAACTAAGCTTTGGGTTAATCTCTCTGTTTTAGCTAATTAAATATACATATGAAATGTATGTTTTAACGAGATAAGTGAGATTATACTACATGGATTGTTCGGTCACTTGCTTTACAATGTGACATAGGGACCCTATTCTCGGAGTTGCTGAGTGAGAAAGTTGTAGTTATTTAACCACATCTCTACTGGACATTGAAGTTGTTGCTGCTTTTGTACTATTGTCTACAGTGCTATGTGACCTTCCTAGTACATGCAGTGTGTCTTTGAGTATGTTTGCTGAGTGAATATTTTGAACATCCAGAAGCAGAAATGCTATGTTAATTTTGATAGATTTGGGGGGCACCTGGGTGGCTCAGTTGGTTGAGCGTCCGACTCTTGAACTCAGCTCAGGTCTTTTTTTTTTTTTTTTTTTTTTTTTTTTTTTAAGTTTATTTATTTATTTTGAGAACTCAGCTCAGGCCTTGATCTTAGGGTTGTTGAGTTCAAGCCCTGCGTTGAGCATGGAGCCTACTTAAAACAACAACAATGACAAACAAAAAACCAACAAAAAACTGCCTTTTAAGTAGCTGCATCCATTTGTTGACAGTATATGATAGTAACAGATTCCTTACACTCGTGCCAAGAGCAGGTATGTCTTTGAAAAAGACGTCAGCCCAGAGCCCGCTTTGGATCCTGTGTCTCCCTCTCTCTCTGCCCTGACCCTGCTTGTGTTCTCTCTCACTCGCTCTCTCTCTCTAAAATAAAACATTAAGATGAAATAGCCAATGTCTAAAAAAATTTGCACTTTTGATAGTTAAAGAAATACTTCATTTAAATTTGTATTTGACTACTAATGAGGCTTAGTGTTTTTCAAGTTTATTAATAATTTATGCATAGTTTATGTATTATACATAATATGTAAGTTATATAATACATAAATACAAATATGAATATATATGTATAATTTTTTCCCCTATGAAATAGTTGCATTTAATCTGAAAAGTATGTGTTAGTTGGCAAAGAAGCCCAGGGAAGGAGCACCTGGCTTGCTCAGTTCGTAGACCATGTGACTCTTGATCTTGGGCTTGTAAGTTTGAGCCCCATGCTAGGGAGTAGAGGTTACTTAAAAACAAAAAAAAATCTTAGGAAAAAAAAAAAAGCCCAGCAAAGAAATAGTCCTTTGTCATGGCCAACCCATCAGGTCACTAGCTCTGAAGAGAGACCTTTAATGACCTAAATGGAAATGTAACTGTATGTAACAGAAAACTAGACAGAGAAACAGAATTCATTTAACTATGAAATTGGACATGACCCATTGATTATTAAGATTGATGACTAAGAAGTTACTATTTAGTCAGAAAGACTTTTTGGTACCAGCCACATCGTTCACATAACCAAAAACAGTGATATCTAATTTCCCCAGGAGGCAAAACTACTGTAAAGAAAAACAAAATCACCCAAACATCTGGTGTTCTAAATTTAGCATCTCTGAATTATAGAGGAACCACCTATTCAGCTTAATTTGGGGCTCGTAACTGTAGTCTTCTAAACTGCTGTGTTATTGGAAATATTGGAAATATTCTTTATCTGTCCTGTCCAATAAAGCAGCTACTAGGCACATGAAGCTTTTAAATTTTAGTTAAAATTAAATAGGATAAAAAATTCAGTTCCCGTGTTACACAGACACAGCACAAGTGCCTGGTGACTATACATAGCTAGTGGCTACCTTATTGGACAATGCAGAGTTAATTTCAACATCACTGCAAAAGTTCTATTGGATGCAGCCAACTTAGAAGGAGGAGCACAAAAGGATCTTAGCTGATGGCTGACTCAGTGCATGGAACTGAACCTCTCTACACCTGCAAAGGGGGGCACATTCAGAGAATAAGCATGATTTGCTTCTCAGATTTATCTAAACAGGTTTGTGTTAATCTCTGTTTTAGCAAATTAAGAAAGAGTTGTTTGAAATGTTTTTATTTTTTGCTTTTGGGTTCTATGGGATTGAATCTATGTAGACTAGTATTCACGTCATTTGTTATGAAAGCTTCAGAACCTAAGATTTGTAGCTGAATAATTTACTGCTCCTTCTTTCAGGAAATATTATGCTCTTGTCCCTTAAGGAGAAGAAAAACATTTTTTTGTGTGTGTGATTATAAAAGTGCTCATGGTAAAACAAACTAAAATACATATTACGAAAAATTAAGTTAATTGTAATCACACCATCCAGAGATAATCATAGTTAATATCTCGATGAATATCCTTCTGGGCTTTTTTGGACGCATCTCTACCTATAAAAAATATATAATTATGGGGTCATACTGTTCTATTTTATAAACTGAAACAACTTATCAAATGTCTTTTTATATTAGTATATATTTACCATTTTTATTGGTTGCATAGTACCATACCATGGATGTACTGTTATTTATTAAGTGCAATGCTGTCTTTCTTGTATTGATAGTTATTTTGGACATTTTCAATGTGTGAGTATTATAAACAACATGAATAATACCAATTTCTTACACTTGAAAGTGTTTTAGATTGTTGGATCAAAGAATATACTATTATTAACATAATAAAGTTAAATAGAAATTTTCTCTATCAGGAATACAACTAAATTTTAGAACATTGATGGTTTTGAATCTTTTCAACTGTATGAAGCTTTTAGAAAAGGAACTAAATAAAGACTTTTGAACTAATTGTTTAAAAAGCCCAACTACCACTATTTGACATACCTAATTTAAATAAACTTAAGGGAAAACAGATGATTTCTTAATGTTTCAGTGCAAAGAGGAAAAATAACAGTTTAGTAGAATAGGAACTGATTTTAGAGCTACACTGTTTTTTTTTTTTTTAATGTTTATTTCTGAGAAAGAGAGACAGAGACAGAGCACGAGAAGGGGAGGGGCAGAGAGAGAAGGAGACACAGAATGGGAAGCAGGCTCCAGGCTCTGAGCTGTCAGCGCAGAGCCTGACGTGGGACTCTAACCCACAAACTGTGAGATCATGACCTGAGCCGAAGTCGGATGCTTAACTGACTGAGCCACCCAGGCGCCCCTACACTGATTGAGTTTTAATGCCAGTTTCAGCTGTGTGACCTTGGGTAATTTAAGGTGTGCCTCAGTTTCCTCGTCTGTAAAATGGGGAAACAACGTATCTACCTCATAAGATTTTTATGATGAACGTATCGTGTAGCTACAGTATCCCAGGATTTTACTTGCATATGTAACATTTCCCTTTAGACGAGGGATATAGGATATATACTGATATATATATATTTCAATTTAATTTCTTTTTCAAAATTTTATTTAAATTTTAGTTAACATACAGTGCAACATGTGTCAGGAGTAGACACCACACTGATATTTTAAACCTAAGTGATGAAACCATTCCCTCTTTTTAATCTTTCCCATGGGATATATTTCCTCTTCGATACCCTAGTATATCTACCTTAGTATGGAACATACTATCTGATAATCCAAGCATCTGAATTAGGATTTACCCACCTGCTCCTTCCTCAAAAGCAAGATATATGTCTTAAATATGTCAAGTATTATTACAATGAAAGTATGTATAATACAACCACCACATCAGCCATCCATTTATTTCAAGAACTATCTAATAACATTCTGGTAGTACAGAAATAGTTGAGAATTTTTGGAGTTCATTTTAAGATGATAAAAATGTACAAAATTTTTCATAGATAATTAAGAATTTTATGAATATTCATAAATATTACTGAAATTTCTGACTTCTGAAAATGCTCAACAGCTGCCAGAAAGCAATTTAGACATTTAAATGTGGATTAAAAACAAATCTAAATTCCTATAGCAAGAGCCAGATCCGTTTCCTCTGGTTTCGTTAAATGCTGTATCTTAGTGAATTGTTAAATGAAACACGTTCATTTTCCTTTGTGTGTAAATGAGATTTAAAAATCACTGACTTTGGTTATGATTAAAAAAAATTTTTAATGTTTATTTATTTTTGAGAAAGAGAGAGACAATACGAGCTAGGGAGGAGGAGAGAGAGAGAGAGGGAGATATAGGATCTGAAGTGGGCTCCAGGCTCTGAGTGGTCAGCACAGAGCCCGATGCAGGGCTTGAACTCACGAACAGTGAGATCATGACCTGAGCTGGAATCAGACACTCAACTGACTCAGCCACCTAGGTGCCCTGGCTATAATTTTTATATAATCTTAATAAATAGGCTTGTAAGATCATGTCAGTAGTTTTAGGAACCTCTTCAGAAGTTCTCAGTTTAACAAAGTAAAACAGTAAGTAAGCTTCAGCTAATAATAACAAGACTCCTTTCTTGTAGGGAATCCTACAGTTCTATTATTATTTTTTTTTTAATTTTTATTTACTTAAGTAATCTGTACACCCAATGTGGGGCCCGAACTCATGACCCGCAGATCAAGAGTCGCATGCTGTTCTGACTGAGCCAGCCAGCCACCCCATCTACAGTTCTGTTCTTCATACAGAATATACACAACCCCTCCTCCAGGTATCTTTTTTCCCCTTCTTTGTTGCAGTATGAGGTCTAAACATAAGTGACTTAAAATTCCTGGTATCTTAAATATATTCTTCATAAGATTATCATAGATCTCTAGGAAAAAATTAAAGCAACCAGCACACTAAAAGAGTGATGCTTTGTTCATGTTTTGGCCATAGGTTTGCTTTACGAAATAGCATGGCCTTCAGAATGGAAGAATGTATCTGCCTCCTATTTGATGGGGTTCAGAGCTAAGATGGCTGACTAAATAAACATGGGGAACTGGAATTTCCTTGGAGGCATCCTGGAGGAAGTTCACATCCACTCCACCATAATTGGAAAGATCTGGCTCACTATCCTGTTCATATTTCGAATGCTTGTTCTGGGTGTAGCAGCTGAAGATGTCTGGAACGACGAGCAGTCTGGCTTCATCTGTAATACAGAACAACCCGGCTGCAGAAATGTATGCTATGACCAGGCCTTTCCCATCTCCCTCATTAGATACTGGATCTTGCAGGTGATATTTGTATCTTCACCATCCCTGGTCTATATGGGCCATGCTTTGTACCGACTGAAAGTTCTGGAGAAAGAGAGGCAGAGGAAGAAAGCTCAGCTGAGAGGGGCACTGAAGGGGGTGGAGTGTGAAATGCCCTGGGACAGGAGGAGACTGGAGCAAGAACTTTGTCAGCTGGAACAAAGGAAACTAAGCAAAGCCCCACTCAGGGGGACCTTGCTTTGCACTTACGTGATACACATTTTCACTCGCTCTGTGGTAGAGGTTGGGTTCATGATTGGACAGTACCTTTTGTATGGATTTCATTTAGAGCCTTTATTTAAATGCCACAGCCACCCATGTCCAAATATAATTGATTGTTTTGTCTCAAGACCAACAGAAAAGACAATATTCCTGTTATTTATGCAGTCTATAGCCACTGTTTCACTTTTCTTAAATATTCTAGAAATTTTCCACCTAGGTTTTAAAAAGATTAAAAGAGGGCTTTGGGGACGATATAAACTGGAGGATGAGCACAATGAATTCTTTGTGAACAAGTCAAAACAAAATCTTGCCAAATATCAGAGCACATCTGCAAATTCACTGAAGAGACTCTCTCCTGCACCTGATTATTATTTGTTGATGGAAAAGCAAACACACACAGCAGTGTGCCCTAGTTTAAGTTCACCTGCATTTCAGGCAGATCCTGACCATCACAATGGAAATGATGAGAAATGCGTTTTGGATGGGCAAGAAACTGTACTTTCTAATGAGATGTGCACACTTAGCGCAACCTGTAGTCACCTTCAACACATCAGCTCATGTAATAATGAAGACAGTCGCAAAATATTTAGAAAAGAAGTGGGTAACCCGTTAAAGGGAAAGAAAGAAATCGATGGCAAAGACAGCAAAAGGAACCACTACTCTAGAGGTCAAGGTTCTATTCCAGGTGTTGCTATAGATCCAGACGACCACGTGGGACAGTCGCCTCAAACAGCTTTCTCTCTGCCAGCTAACTGTGCTTGGAAACGGAGGTGGCTTAGTGCTACATGGGGTCCCTCTACAGAAGGTGAAAATCGGACGTCACCTCCTAAAGGAAACCTCAAGGGCCAGTTCAGAGAGGGCACAAACAGAACCCTTCCTCCTTCCCAGGGAGACTGTCTGGACATTCCAGACACTCCTGATTCTTTGGGACGGTTGTCCTTAGAATCTGATTTGATCAGGAGCTGCAATAATTCTACTGCTTGCCCTCCAAATCATTTAGCGCTGCTGACAAACAACCTCATCGGTAGGCGGGCTCCCACAGACCTTCAGATCTGAACAGCTGTTGACTTCTAGACATCCTGCATATTATATGACCCTAGCGTGGTGGTGGTGGAGCAGGCAAAACAAATAAGGGCAGCTCTAAAGACGAGCTGTTTAGGCAGACAATTGCAAACCTACTTCAAAAAGGAAAAACACATTAATTCTAAATGGTGATGGGGCAGTTTTAAATTCAAGGAGGGCTACCGGATCAGGATTACTTTTTTCACAGGCTCCTTTCAGAATTCGTGAAAACTGATTCCGGGAACGTCACGTTAAGAATCCAGGCTTAATGGTTTGGAACTACGTTTTTCCTTGATGGGAGCAGAGCCTTAGGAGACTATACTGATTCTACATAAGTCTCCCTTTTAGTTACTAATCTTTTATTTCTGGACAATGGTTAAATTGTTTGTCCCTGGGACTTAATTTCGTTTCCTTATATAGACTGCAACCTGATGTCTCTTGAGTATAATCAAAATGTTGCTATCTAGTAAATAAAATTTTAAAAAGATTGGTGGCTTTAAAACATCGTGATTCAGTGTCCAGACTGGAGTTGTATCTCTACACTCCCTAGTCCTCTAACCTCGACACTTTACTAACTGTAGCTACCTTACAGGGATAGTGTGAGAATTAAAATAAGAAACGTTGTGTTTAGTACAGTACCAGGCACACAGAAAGAGCTCAAAAGGCCTATTATTAGCACGTTACTGCTCACCCTCCAGAGGCCCACATCAAGCCGGCCACAAAACAAACTGCAAAAGTAAAAGCTGGAGCCGAAACATACGATTCCAAGCGCTCTTCTCAAGCCACTGGAAACCCAAGGGGCGCCCTGCGTCGGTCGTGCGCACCTTTTCGGGACGAAAGCCAAGAAGCCAGCACGTATAGGCTACCACACCTAATAATGATGAGGCCCGGGTTGAGACTGGTCCGCTCCCACACCGCTGCCCGGAGATCCCACCCAGCTACAGTCCCAGCGCTCCCGGACTCCGCAGGCCGCGCCCCCGGGCGCCACGCCCATCCTTGGCCCCACCTGGACACCCTCCCCGAGTTACCAAACCCTCGCCTCTCTCTAGGCAACCGAATTGCCGCGAGGACCGGAAGAGGAAGGAGAGGTGTTGAGCCGGGAGCGGAGAGGCGGGCATACGCAGCCTCCCTCGGCTTAGCTCACTATGGGGCATCCAGAGCGTCCTGGTCGCCATGAAAACAGGCCACACCCCCGCGAGCTCACACAGTGGTTCGCAAGTGCGCAGGCGCGCGCGGCCTTCCGCGCATGAGCAGTGCTGCTCAGAGCCCGCCAGCCACGGTCTCGGGCGCCAGCTACGCCGCTGCCGCTGTCACTATGGCCCATTACAAAGTGAGGGGGGCGCGGCGTGGCTGGGGGCGTGCGGGCGGTAGCCAGCCGCTGGTCGGCTCCGGGTGGGAATGGGGGTGCGCGCGCAGGTTTTGGGGGCCTGCGGCAGCGAGGCGGAGGCGGGGTTGCCGGACTCCCAGCGCCTTCTTCCTGCTCTGGCCCCTGGGCTTCGGCTACTGACCCGCCGTGTCTCCTCAGGCCGCCGACTCGAAGCGGGAGCAGTTCCGGAGGTACTTGGAGAAGTCGGGGGTGCTGGACACGCTGACCAAGGGTGAGCATGGGCTAGGAGAGGGTTCCTCGTGTCCACGTCGTGCTCCTCGGCGCTGCGTCCCTGTAGGGCCAAGGCGTGGGAAAGGAGGGAGAACAGGTGGGACCTGTCTGGGGTCCAGCAAGGTGGGCCTCGGGGTCCAGTAGGGACTGGCGCACGTCTGGCTGCTGGCTGTCGGACGCCGCTCGAGTGGGATAGCCTTGCTCACGCTACCACCCTCCGGGCGGGGAGTGAAACTCCTGCAGCTGTTGCAAAGTCCCTCCAACTTCCGTTGCTTTGCCTCGAGTGGCCGCAGCGAGTATGTTTGATAAAGACCTTGAGCTCCTAACTCCTCCCTCCTTACAGTTTTTGCGGACCCCAAATTACGAAAAGAAGCATTTTCCTTCGAAAAAAGGGCAAGTGGGAAAATTAACCAGATTTCAAAGCTGTCTATGAAATAACTAAATGAACTCAGTCCCCATAGTAGGCGATTCATAGTAAATTTGGCTGTGGTTTTTCAACCCCGGTTTCGTAGGCTATACCAATTCCTACTTTGTGCAGATTTCATAAGTAGGATTACAGTTTAAAGAGCTTGAGGACACATAAAAATGGTTATATTGTTTTCACTTTTTAAAATAGAAGCTATTACACTGTATCTGTTTCTGGGAGTGGGGTTCAAGACCTAAGATGAGTAAGGAGCTTGAAACTGGAGAGTTCCAAGAGGTGGTTGGGGGTACTACTTATTTCATTAGCTCAGCAATAATGTGAATGCCTGCTATGCATCATTCAACTCATTGGCTAGAACTTGCAAGGGTGTAGAACAGAAGAGCTGTCAGGGATAACGACGTGGGTCCACACGAGAGGTGTCTGGGAAAGAAAGAATTTGGTAACTGCTCTTTGGCCAGAAGCAAAGGTTAGGAGACAATTCTGGGAGAATAACAATTTTGGGTCTTAGCAGAAAGCAGGGCTTTTAATTCCCATGCATGGGCTGGTAATTTTGAATTGCTGCCTACGTTAGATTCAGGTACCAGTTTCCCTATCTTGTTGCAATTACACTTCATCAAACATACAGGAGTACCTATGAAAGTGCTATGCTCTGTCCTCTCTTGAAGTGTCAGAAATGCTTGAAATTTCATTGACCCCCCCCCTTTAAAAAATTCTGTGGGTTCATTTCTTTCATTTATTTAACCATTTTATTCAAGTCTCTGTTCTAGACACTGGGGATACAGCAGTGGAAAAAAATGTCCCTGCTCTAAATGAGCTTATATTCTAGTTGGGGGAGACCTAATAAATAAATACATAGTGCCAGCCAGTGTCAAGTGTTATGAATAAGAAACATAGAAAAGGAGGGGCGCTTGGCTGGCTCGGTTGAGTATCCGACTCTTGATTATGGCTCAAGTTGTGATCCCAGGGTTGTGGGATCGAGCCCTGTGTTGGGCTCTATGCTGAGTGTGAAGCCTGCTTGATTCCCACCCCCCACTCCCCGGTTCCTGCCTGTATTCTCTCTCTAAACAAAACACCAAACCAACCAACCAACCAACCAACCAACCAACCAACCAGCAAAGGGGATAAAGAGCTATGGATGTGCCATTTCATAAGAGGTGGTGGTTACTTCTCTCTCAAGAAGTAACATTTGAGTAGAGACCTGAATGAAATGTGATGTTAAGAGTTCCAGGAAGTCTGGGGCGCCTGGGTGGCGCAGTCGGTTAAGCGTCCGACTTCAGCCAGGTCACGATCTCGCGGTCCGGGAGTTCGAGCCCCGCATCGGGCTCTGGGCTGATGGCTCAGAGCGTGGAGCCTGTTTCCGATTCTGTGTCTCCCTCTCTCTCTGCCCCTCCCCCTGTTCATGCTCTGTCTCTCTCTGTCCCAAAAATAAATAAACGTTGAAAGAAAAATTAAAAAAAAAAAAAATTAAAAAAGAGTTCCAGGAAGTTCAAGGAGGCCGGAGTGGCTAGACAGAGTAAAAGAATGTTAAAAGGTAGAGAAGTGACCTTGGCAGGAGGTAACTGAAGATGTACAGCCTTGTGCCATACATGGATCTTCCTTCATGAGACTGGAAACCACTGAAGGCTTCTTTTCCCTTGCTCACATCCACTGGCATCTAACTCCTCAACCACTGCAGATTTCCAGTCTCCTAAATAATGCCAGACAACATAGTACCTACTGATGTGACGTATTTAAAATCTGATGTTTTTCAGCTTCAAACATATGTACTTTACACATATTTAATTTAGAATTTTTATCCGGCTTATTTCCAAGAGGATCTGAAATTGCTTCTAACATTAAAACACTATATGGCTAAAGATAAAGATAAGTCATTTGGAAAAAGAGGCATTTGAGTTATTTTGAGTACCATTTCAACCTCTAAAAATCCCGGCTGCTAAGGCAAAAAAGGGAAACGCGGGGTATGGCATGCTTCTTGTCTGATTAAAAGGAAGTATATTTCATCTATAGAAAAGCACAGGAAACTTGCTATTTACATTATGTTCTGTAATTATCAACCTTGTAGTACCACTGACCAATTTAGAAGCTGAAAGAAACGGGGTGGGGAACAAGAAGTAGAAAAGGTAAGAGTATTCATGTCTTAAAAGTTAGTTGGCAGAGATCGGTGGAAATCAGTGGAAGAAAAAAACAAGTTTGAGTATGTTATTTAAAGAAAAACACTTAGGGGCGCCTGGGTGGCGCAGTCGGTTAAGCGTCCGACTTCAGCCAGGTCACGATCTCGCGGTCCGTGAGTTCGAGCCCCGTATCGGGCTCTGGGCTGATGGCTCAGAGCCTGGTGCCTGTTTCCGATTCTGTGTCTCCCTCTCTCTGCCCCTCCCCCGTTCATGCTCTGTCTCTCTCTGTCCCCAAAATAAATAAACGTTGAAAAAAAAATTAAAAAAAAAAAAAATTAAAAAAGAGTTCCAGGAAGTTCAAGGAGGCCGGAGTGGCTAGACAGAGTAAAAGAATGTTAAAAGGTAGAGAAGTGACCTTGGCAGGAGGTAACTGAAGATGTACAGCCTTGTGCCATACATGGATCTTCCTTCATGAGACTGGAAACCACTGAAGGCTTCTTTTCCCTTGCTCACATCCACTGGCATCTAACTCCTCAACCACTGCAGATTTCCAGTCTCCTAAATAATGCCAGACAACATAGTACCTACTGATGTGACGTATTTAAAATCTGATGTTTTTCAGCTTCAAACATATGTACTTTACACATATTTAATTTAGAATTTTTATCCGGCTTATTTCCAAGAGGATCTGAAATTGCTTCTAACATTAAAACACTATATGGCTAAAGATAAAGATAAGT